ATACTTAAAATTTCCATGCTAATTTAGAAGACTCTGATACCAAAGGGTTCCAGATCTACTAGTTAATCAAGGGGGGGGGGGGAATAATCTCCTTTTCTTGTAAAGTACTATTAATGTATGCACCGACGAAAAGAAATTATTCCACATAAAGGCAGTGTCTCGTGGACTTCGTTTAGTGACTCGCGATATTATAAGCAGGGATACAATATTGTCAATACTACAAACTTGTGTGATACAGAAAAATGTAACGTTCGACGTGAACAGGACCAAAGGCGCTGGATTTTGCCGAGGGGAACAAAAGAAAAAAAAAACAGTAAAACAATCTCTCATACATATGAAGGGCGTAAGAATGCCTTACTTTTTGGTATAGGTGGGAGGGAGAAGTGATAGACCAGGGTGCATCAGAATCAGAGAGAGGGCGCGTTTCCTATGCGACGAACCCTCTCCCCTCGGTTCCAACGTTGTAAGACTTGAACACACACTGGCACACACTGCTGTTTTATTTTAATAGAACACAAGAACACAGTGTAATGATTCGTTGCTTTTCTTTTCACGCGAGTTAAAAATACGCTCTTCTGGTTGTATATGATGTTAACTAACATGTAAGCGCACTCATGCTTTCCTATAATATTTACCAGTGCATGTGTGTGTGTGTGTGTGTGTGTTTGTTTGTTTGTTTGTTTGTTAGAGAGAGAGAGAGAGAGAGAGAGAGAGAGAGAGAGAGAGAGGAATGAATTTCCTTAAACACATAGATTTTGATCCGCCATTAGAATGTCACAAAACCACAATAAGGTATGAGGTTCAAATTACCCATTGGCAAGATTTCCACCACTAGTTTGGGATATGCTATATTCGAGCAGCCGACTCTATTTTGACACACACTCATACAAATATCGGGATTTACACAAGCCACTTCATCTGAAAGAGAATTGAAGAATTCGGTGAAATAAATGAATATGATTACAATCCCCCCCCCCCCCAAAAAAAAAAACTCTGCATAACAAGCAGGAGTGCTTTTATTCTATTCTTTCAATTGCAAACCTCATCATGCCAATAATTACGACGAAAATAAAACATGTAAATGTAAAATTAATATAGATACATACAAACTTTTTTCTTTTCTCTCACTTAGACTTGTGGTAAAAGTAAGCTACAAATATGGAATTTAGAAAAAAAGATATAGTTGATAGAATACTTGGAAACAGAACCCTGCTGACCATGCCCGGTACGATGAGGATAAAGAACGGGAGCAGTTTCAGATATCCGGCCACTATGATGCCGCCCTTCGCATGTTCAATTGTCTTGGCGGCCAGAGTACGCTGAACAATTATCTGAACAAACAATGGATGCATTTTATTCTTGATTTATTCTTGATTTAAAAGCAATGGACGACAATTTAAATAATTGATAATAATAGGATATTTGGAAAAAAGACATTGTCAATGAAAGTTTTTAGGTTATTTAAACACTTTTAAAGCGTTGCCATCACGGTGCTCATTTTTGTATAACAATAAGCACCCGACGATTTTTTAAGATGTGCTTTCTAAGCAAAACCACGAGTTCATTACGATAACATTCCTCCTAATGAAAACATTTTAACCTGTTTCTTTAAAGTACCTGTTCGTTACACCACACAAGTATAGCTGGCGCCATTGTTCCAAATATCAATCCTGTCCAGGGAAAGTCTTGTGTGTCCGGAGCTCGGAATATGTTCAGGGAATCTGGAGGCGGGAAACCAGCGGTGACGTTATTGGCACACTGTGTCACGTTGGGAGCTGCGTACATGAAGTCGTCGAAGAGATTTTCCAGACCTCCTACTTTTTGGATGCCTGCGTGGGACAAAATTAGAAATAATACCATTACTTGAATGTTCTTTCTCTCTCTCTCTCTCTCTCTCTCTCTCTTACACACACACACACACACACACACACGCACGCACGCACGCACGCACGCACGCACACACACACACACACACATACAGACACAAGCGCGCGCGTACACACATAGATTTGAACAAAATGGTTGCTTCACTGGCCGTGCTTGGAAAAGCGTGTATATTATATGTGTGCGGGGCGGGGGGGGGTAAGCTACTTCTACTACGCCTGTGGTTTGTAACAAGCCAGTGCACCTGCTCTTTATTCGCCTTACCTATAACCGCCATGACAATGCCGCCTCCTATCAGAATAGCTGTCTGAACAGCGTCTGTGTATATGACGGCAGACAGGCCTCCCAGCACAGTGTATACCGCAGTGATCAGCACCACGCTGATGGTGGCTATGTACAGGTCCCAGCCCAGTGCTTGCTGGATAAAGATGGCGCCTGAATACACTGACATCTAAAATGTGGAAAAAATATTGCGAAATTGCACATTTAATGGCTGCAACTGGCAATCGCCCGTTTTCTTTTATTAATATAATATTGTGAAGTTTTTGAAGTTGTAGGATTTAATTTTTTGTTTAAATGTGCAATCGGTATAAAATATCCACATTCAGTATCCATATATATTTTAAGTTGATAGAAAATTGAGTTTGTGCGCATAAATTCACAAATAACGTCAACATATTTGGCGCAAAATACCATAAAAATAAACATTGTTCGGTATTTTCGACATTCTTTTGGGCATAAGGGCATACTGCATGTACATAAGCGCCAATGAAGAATGAAAAGATCAAGGGAAGATAACAAACAAAACGTTGTTCAAAAGCGTACACAACATGTTTACAAAATGCATAACTTGTTGCACTGAATTAAAGATACGTACGGAAATCTTGGTCACAATCATCAAGAATATGGATAGAATCGATAGTGACATTCTTAACCTCTCTCCGCCGTATCTTTTCTTGAGGTATTCTGGCATTGTGTAACACTGAAAAGATTACAGAAGACGAGTTCCTGCAATTACCAAATTGACGAACTATTTGAAAACTCAGACAAACCCCGTGTTTTGTGCACGAGATAAAAATTCCCAAACGACCAACCCTGTCTCGGGTCTGGAGCGTTTGATAAAAATCCTCAAGTGGGATTTGTCCTTGATTTTGAACTTTCTTGACACATAGTAACCAACGAAGGTATAAGAGCTAGGTGATAAATTAAAAGTGACAATGTATAAAATCTTGACACTTCTAAGGTCAGATAGAAACATACCCCAGAGGAAATGTAAATTGGAAGAAAGAACCATCCCAGCAACAGAAGTGGAAACACTGCCTGAAAGGAAAAAAGCAACCAACATAAATTACAGATTATGTACATTTCTTATTAATGTTACAACAAATGTGAACTTTGATTTTTATATGTCTTGGTATCAAAGTATTGATGAATTGAAAACGGTGACCGGACAATGTTCGTCAGTAAGACAGCATACTGAAATAAAGTATTTTGAATTTTGATGAAGAGATGTTTGAANAATTTTGATGAAGACGATGTTTGAAGTTTGGTATTTTCACAGTAGCTTTTATTCGTAGTATAATTTACTGCTGTGACACACTTTCATTACACTAACCATCCATTCAAACATGACTACAGCAACTCCATTGGCGGCAGCTGTCCCGGCCTGCCCTATGAAGAAATGGCTGCCGATGTTTGTGGCAAACACAGAGGCTCCAACCTAAAATGTTGACTAAGATCGTTAGATTTGTATCTATGTTGGACTTAACTGAATGGGGTTGACGCATCAATTTATGTAAGAATTAGTTTTTCTGCTTGCTGTATCAATAAATAGTATTATTTTGATAAAATAATTTTTATCAAAGTGCAACTGTGATGTTATAGGCCTAATGCATGCAGTGTTGTGAAAATACAGTGCTCTGTTATACCTGTAGAATAAGGTAGGATGCTTGCTTGAACACTTAAGAGTGCTGTTACGTTTGAGAGTAGTTCTGTGAGATAAAGAAGTAGCGCTGCAACATTTAGGAGTTATATGTATACTGTGGAGTAATCTCCTCCCAGACATGAGCTCTGGAGATTACTAGGTCAACATTTCGCATCTCCGTTGTCAGGTTAACACTTGCGGACCTTCTGTGAGAGAGCATCAGTTGATGTCAATTTAATTCTACGTTTTTTTAAGTAAGATCAGATACTATAGTGGCCTATCCATTCATTATATAGTTTCTATCAAGCTTATGAGGGTATAATGCCACTGGAAAAGATGCCAAGGCGGACCCAGGGTTTTGCAAAAGCGAGGCAAAAATAAAACAGAAAGTTAAGACAATTTTCTGTAACACTGTATATGCATAGCTCGAATCCGTATTTGCAGAACACAATGTTAAAAATTGCTTGGTTATATATATATA